AAAAACAGTATAATTACATCTACAGAACACTTCTCTTGATCTCGAACCCTCACCATAGGAATTAGGTCCCAATGAATTTGCTATTGGCACACTTGATCCCGACCCATAAGATAGAAGTAAATATCGAATTTCGGCCCTATAAGAAGCCTTGGAGGTCGTCAATGGAGTATTTAAGGCTTGGAGATCCTCTTAGTCTTTATGGGTAATGATTACTCCATACTCAGCGGCGGTCCCATGTAAAACCCATTTGCGCTCCACCTCTCGCCACACTCCTCCCTCAAATTTTGATTTTTTAATTATATTAGAGAACAATTTAATCTTTTACCCCTCCTAATATATCAGTTTTGCACATTTTGAAATATCATTTTGTCTTCCAAGAAATATCATTTTGTTAATCACTGTCTTAGCCTCTCCCACATCAGGACTAGGGAGAGTTTGTCTCCCTTTAAAAAGAGATTGGTTCCGCCTCTGTGGACTATAACAAGAGGGTTTGGCAAGAGAATGATGTGAAAAAAGATTGGTTTGCTTACATAGTAATTCACAGAAGCAATTTGTCCTTCTTCTTCAATAGATAATGATTGGATCATTTACAGCGAGATAGAGGAGAGGGCAAAAAAGTGGAGGGAGAGCCAAGGACTACAAGAAAGTTTTTGGGAAAATCGAGTGTGTCGTGGATAAATGTGTTACTTGAGTAAATTTAGATACTTGGATGATTTATGGCTGATAAAATCGATTTTATTACTTCTCAATTTTCTTTTTCCTTTTTCATTTGTTTTACAACCAACAAAACTATACTATAATTTCATGAGTTTGCTGGCAAGGGAGAAAAAAGTTAATGGAGTGCTAAGTTTTATGACTCAAATCTGACTCTACCCAAGATCTAAACAAATGACTTAAAAAACTAAGACTTTTATGTGCTCCTGTTATGTAGAAAGATCTATGTTTCAAGTTATATTCTACTAACATAACAACTAAATAGAAATCAAGTTTCAATTAGCCCAAACACTTAAACATCTACAAAGATAACAATAGTTTATATGAAAGCACTTTTTTATAAGTTTAAGAATTTAATAGACTTCTAGGTGTTAGATATATAAATATATTATTAAGGCATTAGATACGTAAAATGAGAAGATGTTGATGGTATGCATACAAACCCTCTTTAGTTTAAAAAGGATCAGATTTGGACCGGGAGAACGAGAAAGAAATGAGTCCTTCAATAACTGGATTCTGGGGACACCCCTTTTGATTACAAGATCATCTCTATTTATAGAGGAGTTCATTTATGTGATACAAATAAAATAATTATTAAACACGGGTTTTAAAACATCTTAGATGCATAATGTTTATCTTGTCCTCACATGAACATTATAATTAATATTATTTTGATATACCTTAATTTGGTATATGTTCCTCATACTTCACTTCCGATAAGGCTCTTATCAGCCTATACTTATATCTATTTTTAACTTTATTTCTTTTCATTTATATTTCTGCTTTCAACATTGTTACAATGGCACTAAAAATTTTAAAATATGTATACTTAAGCTGATGCATGCATGTATATATACTGTCCCGAATCCTGACAAGAGCAAACTAAAGTCCAGTTTAGCTTACGATAGAGGTCAAGTCAATGTTGGACTAAGTTTAATTTTATAAGAGTCCCCCAACCTGCAGTTGGTGCAACATTAGGTGAGATTTGTCATTAATCCAATCCAATTTCGTCTTATTAATTTATCCAAAAAGCCTGATTATTTTCAGCAACCAATGGCGGGCCATAATCAAACCATAATTTACTGAAGAATTATCAACTAATCACCTTTTTATGATTATAATTAACTGACATGTGGTGGCCAATACAATGTTGAAGGAAGCATTCTCTTAGGTCTCTTTATGGATTAGATGATATAGGATTAACTAATTCTTCATAATCCTTATTTAGTACTAATGTAATTGGACCTAATAGTAAAAAATCTGATTCAACCAACTTGTTTTTTTTTTTTATTTTTAGTGGAGGGTCATTAATTGAATTTAACATATTGCAATTTCACTTATTATTTTCATTTTATGTGCTACATCTGATTCAACTGTTCCTAGGGGTGTATTTCGAGCTCAAAAATTGTGTTGGTGTTCGGCTCCTTTGCTTAACGAGCTGAACACGAGCCGTTCACGAACAAAGAGTCGTTTTGGCAACCTTAATCAGGTAGCCATAAGATCTTAAGGATTGGGACAAGATTTAAAAATTATTGTTTGTATTAAAACAACATTTGAATCTAATTTAATAATTTTTATTCTATTTTCTTAATTAATACTTACAAGTGATTATAAATCTTTAGTTTTTTAAATTAAAAATCTCGTATATGCAGTGTAGGTGTATTTATAATTAATTTCTCTTAATATCCTAATAAAATAAAATAAAATAAAATAAAAACAGTGATTTAGCCTCATACTTTTTAAGGCTTATTATTTTTTTTTCTCGACAAAATATGTATAATTATCGGCAAATATATATCATAATTATTTTCTTTTAATTTTTTTTAAGGAGATCGATTTTGTGCACACTTTCGGATACCAATAAATGATAAAATGTAGAAAAAACAATTGCGCTAAATGTGCATGCAAAAAATGTTGGACAACTTGTAAGAGGTACTTAAAATATATGTTATATGAGAAAATATTATGTGCAGACAATTGCAAATCCAGACAATCAATCACTGGAGATCACGTTATTATGCACACGAACTTGCACGCGTGTGATATCTTGTGATTAGGTGTTCGAATGTGTGGTTGCTGGTACATAATATTTTCTCATGTTAAAAAAAAACATTCTATTGAAAGATTACATGTGGTGTCAAAATAAAAAAATAAATAATAAACCCGTTGAATCTGATTATGTTTGGAGTCTCACCAAAGGAATACAAAGTAAAATAGGAGAGGGGTAAAGAGAGTAGAAAGAGAGTGCATCGTAATGAACAGTAGAATAGTAGAATGAGGGAATTGCATAATCATTTAGTCTTTCAATGGTCCCCTATTTATAAACAAAAGAGCTATAATTTGAATAATTACAAGCTCACCCCTGCTTTAATAGGAGTATTTTGGCTATTTACATAAATGAGCCTACGCCCCATCATTTGGCCGACTTAGATTGGTAGTCCTTGGTTCAGCAAGGCTCGTGTGTCCGATTGTCTGAACTCTAGGCTATCAATAGCTCTTGTTTATCTTCAGTCATTACGATTTAGCTTGGTTGGCATGAGTCTACCAGTTGGTTGCTTTGGTCCAGCTGTCAACTGTCGACCCCTATATGAGATGTTTTTTTGTCGTTGGGATGAGAATAGGCTGTCGGGCAGGAGATGAATCACTATAATTTGACAGGTAGCTCACCCCTTGACGAAAAGTCATTCAGGTTTTCCGCAAAACATATCATGGTAAAACCTTCAGCCACTTGATGAAGTGTCTCAGAGGTTTTTATGAGTCGATTATTAATGCTGAGGTAAGAGTCAGGCTGAGGCCTTCCCTCGATTTGGTGAATCTTGGTCATTGGCTTAGACGGCCTCCGCCTAGTTATTTTCAAGTCCTGATCTAAGGGATCTTTACTTGGTTAATCGGTCTTTTCATCCTCTAATTATGAAACTTTTGGTATTCCTTCTATGGGTCATCCCTGACCAAACTTTCACGTTACTTAGTCCGCTGAATTTTCTTGAAATTTGTGTCATCGCATTTCTCATGTACTATAAACATAATTCAATTAATTAAAATTAAAATTAATTTCCAAAGAATTAAATTAACGTTTAATGTTCTATAAAAAAAAAAGAAAAAAAATGAGCATCTTTATAGTCCAATTCAAAACGTATTTAATTAACATTGTGCTATAATATTTTTGCTATTCTGTGAAGCGTTGGTGAGTGATTGCACGTAAAGTGATTTTCAAAATAAATATTAATATTTGCGTGAATCGCTTGCCCCTTGTTAACATTGTGCTACAATATTTTCATTCAACTACTTGTTATAATGATATAACGTTTGCTAGTACCACTTCCCCTCTATTTAATTTTGTAGAAAATTAAGTCAACCCAACAACAACACTTACAAGATTAAGAATACCTATAATTGGGTTGTTACATAGAGCATACATCACATGCATGATAAGTAAATGTTCTAAAATAAACATCCTAAAATTAATTTGGGAGGAGACCTTTACTTGATTTGAGTTGAGCGGAAACCTATCTTGGTACTTCAAAGGGCCCTTCTGTTCCAGCTGGATTCTTCTCTTTACTTTAAGGTCACTTTTGATGCAGGAATGATGGTTGGGAAACCTCATTTGAGCGTGAGTAGAGTTTGAAATCCGGATCAAGAACTGTACTGGTTTTAGAAAATGAGTGGGTGCCATAGCTTCTTGCTCCAGAACCTTTGACTTGGTTGCTAATGAAAACAAAGACAGATATTATTAGCTTGGTTAGTAAACTTCTTTGACTGGTGGGACATGAAAAAGAATTTTTCTTCAAGAAACTTCTTTTTGGGTGAATTTCACTTTTGATGGTTAACCTCGAAATTTTGACTCACCTAAGTTCAACTTGTAAACTAGGCTGAGAAAGCGATTCGAATCCTACAAGGAAATTTTTATCTAAAAAAATCATAAAATTTACTGCTATTCACATGCTGCTCAAGTGCCTTTAATTCTGTTTTATCAATAGTGATTCTTCATTCCTTATCCTATCTGTGATTGAAATTTAGTTTTTTTTTCCACCATAATGCTAAATTTTATAATCATATTTTTAATAAATATTATTTTTTTAGCAATGTTATGCAATTATAATTTTACAAAAAAACATAAATTAAAATACATATGTGAATATTGTGTGAAGCATTTCTGAAAGGGCATAAATACAATTTAATAATGTCATGTCATTATATTCACTTTAGTCTCTATAATTCCACTTTCTTTCTGCGTTTAAATTGTGAAAACTAATATCAGAACCTATCCATACCCTCTCTATAAAGAAGCAAAGACATTGACTCCAGTCTTTCCATTGCAATCTTCTGAACCTCCTGTTGATCAGAACTGAAAACCAGCCTCACTATGGCTGAAGAATTCCATGGAAGATTATCCAGCTTCAACCTGTTGAGCTCCTTAAGATGCAGCGATGTCTTCCCCTGCTCGACGGCCGTGAACTCCGGCGACATTGAAGAAAGCTTCGGGTGTTCTCCGGCGACCACTGCTTTATTTGAACTCAGGAAAGCTGACTCCTTTGATAACTTGAGTGCCCATCCTTCCAGTTTAGATCTCTCGTCTTCCTCAATTGATTGGTCCCAATCTTTCCTGTAAGCTATATATGCGTACCATTTGCATCTTTCTCCTTTTTTTTAATTATGCTTGTTTAGACATAGCTTAAATATATACGAATATTTGGTGTTCCAGTGAAAGCTTCGGGACTAACTTCCAACCTGTACTGCTCGAGGATAGAGCAACAACAAGACCGTGTAAAATACATGATCCTTCCATGGATATGATCAGTCAGAGCTTCTTTCAATTGTATCAGACCCTTTCAGAATCCGCCATGGATGAAATTCAAAATTTTCCAACGGTCAAAAATTCTCCCGTTTCAAGCACTACGGCCAGCAATATTGTTTCTGACTCCACAACGAAGGTATGTATATATATTCATAGTTTGTTTATTAATATAGATTTACAATCATAAATATTGAACTTGTTATTTATTCTTGTATGGATCAATTTAGTCAAACAGAACAGCTTGGAGAGATTCAATTCTCCCGATTGCAAAGAAGATTAGAATAGAAACACCTTCCCCCTTGCCAACTTTTAAGGTAAGGTTTGATCGATTTTAATCTTAAATATATTAAAGTAATTATATTAAGATTAATGGAATAAATTTATAATTTATGAATAAAAAGCTGCTGGTTTATGTTCTTTTAGGTGAGAAAAGAGAAGTTAGGTGACAGGATAACAGCACTCCAGCAACTGGTATCACCTTTTGGAAAGGTGATGATGTTAAATCCTTGTTGACTTTTTCAACACATCGATCCATCCATTGATGCTTTATTTGATTCCACGCACCCCTAATATATATACATCATACTAACAAAATTGTTACACGTAAAGGAAAGTTGTCGAATCAATTGTCAAAATATTATTTTTTTTTTTACTAAATTTTGGACAAATTAGTACTCTTGTCTTAAGAAATATATGACTATATAATAACATGCTTTTAAATCACATTGCCCAAAGCGATATTATTAAAAGTACATAAAGTTCATTGCTTTTTCTAATTTTATCTATACTACATACTATAATCACAATATGAACTTATTTATATCAAATTATGCTTAAAAATCACATATTTTTCTCCTTCATCTAGACTGATACGGCTTCAGTTCTCCATGAAGCCATAGAATACATAAAGTTCCTCCACGAGCAAGTGAATGTAAGTCCTTTGCCCTTTTCTTAATTCTAAGTTATTAGATTAGTTAAATCCATTTCCCAGTGATAAAATTGTCAAAATGTTGTCTTTTTTGAAGGAGGCCATTTTAAATCAAAAGTCATATAAAAGTTAAAATAGTCTACCATGAACATCATTTCAATCAATATAAAAATATTATGGGGACTAACTAGTTTCCCAATTAAGATTTATTCGTTCTATTCTTAAATAAATAAATTAATGCCAGGGACTAAGTAATCCATATCTAACAAATGGACTCCAGAGGAAAAACCAAGAGGTAATTACTTACTCGCAACTTTTCTATCATAATTCAGATTTAATCACGTATTAATACAATGAAAAAGCTTAATAATACTCAACTTAATCTGAAAACAGATTTTGGATAAGCGGACGAAGAATGGCAATTTGTCAAAGAAAGATCTTAGAAGCGTTGGGCTCTGTCTTGTTCCTATATCGAGCACATTTACAGTGGCCACCAATGAGCTCCCTCCGATCGATTTCTGGACTCAACTCTCCAGCATTGAGAACTACTACTACTTTTAAAGGAATATATATATATATATATATATATATATTTATATACTTTACAATATCTTATTATGCTTTGAGCATATCCATGCGGTGGTGGAAGGCAAAGATTGGTTAGCCTTCAACATCACATATGATAGTTATATTCCATTATGTTAATAGTTGATTAGGCGTAAACATTTATCTTGGCATGAGTATCCTGTAAGATAAACGATTCTTTTAGATTTAATTAGGTTTATTTATTTTGATCAGATAAGACGACGCATTATATCCTCATTCTGATCCCAAAATTAGTGCTAACTAAATTAAAAATCAGGTAAGTTCAGTGCAGAATAAAAAGCTTTGGATATATTCTGTTTGTCTGTTCAATGAGGAGATTAAGCTAGCGCTGTTATTTTAAGCGATGACAGATTCAAGAGCTTCGGTTGAACAAATTAATTAGCACTATAGGAAAATCTGCCCGAACTGACAGAAACAATTGGTAAAAGATTTTCGCTGATTATTATGGACAAAATATATGATTGAATTTCCAGCATAAGTTTTATGACTGAAAGATTGATGGCAAGTCAACAAGTTCATATTTTACTTATCTTCGATGGCTTTATGAACTAAAATTCAATAGAAAAGTTTCCGGCGGATGAACATTATCGAGAGAGACAAGTAGAGAACATAAAAAAAATGCGTATCTTTTATTCATGACATTAGCCACTACTTATAGGAATGAGTCCAAGTTCTACAAAATTACATATCAGTTCCCTCATCATTAGCCTTTTAGGGAGATCTTTTGATAATTATAAAAAAAACTCACATGTAATAGGACCGAATGACCGATTATGTCGATAGAAAGCTTGTCGGTCATTCGCAGTGCCTTGAGTTTGCCGACAGTATGTCCAAAAAGGAGTGTTTCTTGCCGATTTTCTTGAGGGTCGATCGCCACTCTGCGAGAAATTCCCTATTATGTTCATCTGATCGCTAGAACTAAACGTCTCCTTCGCCAGCATCTAACTCAAAGAATCGTCAAATGGCTCATTTGATCGCTCGTATCTTCCGTCCTAGCTGTTCACCGTTTTCCATATTCGCGTTGACATATTTTTCATATACAATTATATATCAAATCTGATGGCTGAAACTTTTCATTTGTTTCTTCTTCCTTGTGTGCTCTCCATCATGGTTGTCTACACTCCACTATAGCCCGTTCAATTCACTGATTTAGAGTTCCAATCCTCTCTTTTTTTCATATTATTAGAGGAAATACTCATTGTCGACATTATACAAGTATTTATTTGAGATTTCATTTGTTTAATCTCTTGTTTTAAAGATTTGAAATTTTTAGAAAATATTGATCCTAACATCAAATTTGTTCAATATTTGATTGTGGTTCGTTTATCTTACATTATATTTGCATTTACAAGCTCGTTTCTTACATTATGAAGAAGAGTTAAATCAGATTAGGATTCATTCTAATTTAGCTTTAAGATTTATTGTTTTTAGTATACCTAGTTGGGATTTGATTAATTAATTATTAAGAGATTTTAATTAGCAACATTTGAAGCTTTACGATACAAGTCATAACATTTAGGTTCAAAACAATTCATTTTTTACACTGCTCAAATTTTGGTAGCTCCAAGTAACTACAAAAGAAATATAATATTCAGATGGTTAATTAGATTAATCATGTCCATGGCAAGAAGCATCTAGATGACTACCCCCTTGAGACTCAATTTTGAATTGATGTACAAATGAGATCTTGAAATTGATTGATTATATGCATGGACATTCAGACATGTCATGAGAGACCTCATTTAGAAGGGTGTGATCAATCATCGTATAATATATCCCCATGTCATGTACTGTCAAATTATGTAATTATAATATGTATGATGATCATTAGCTCTATAATCAAATATAAATTTTAGGGTGTGCATATGGAATTTTTATGTGACTTGCACTGCTTTATTTATCTTAATACAACTTACTAATTACATAACCTTAGCATTGACTTAGTAAAATGAGATATTGTTCATCTTGAGATATTTTTTTCACACTTCTTCACACTAGTTAATCATTTTTCAGATATATGTTTTTTCTTTTGCATCTATATGTCACATATGGATATCCAGAATAAAACGTTATGGATGTACAATAGATTGCATTAAAAAAAAAACATATGGGTTCTTAGAAGTACGAGTATTTTGTGCTAGTAGCATCTCATATTAATATTTATTCTTTTGAGAGTAACTCTTGATGTCCATATTGGAGACACAAGAATTAGACATACTTGATCTTAGACGAAGTCATAAGAGATGTATATCATAGGTAATTTAAATAAGAGTATTTGATTTAGATTTTATACGATGTGTATGTACCATAAATCGATTTTTTGACTGGTGCTTAAATGAATTTTGCTCCTCCAAAAGAATATGATTCTATATATATGAAGAAATGATGTTTGATGCAACAAGAATTAAATTTGTTGGATAAGTGGAGGGATGGGCCACTAAACATAAAAGCTTATACAAACTATTACAACCATTGTGACAATATTGCACGAGCCATTTTGAGTTATCTATGGTTGTTAGGATGTTGAGCATCAAAATCAAATAAAATATACCCCAAAAATATTTCAATAAAATTCAAGGATCATTAAAGAAGACTAACCCAAATGAAAACTTAGTTCCAGAAAATTTATACATAACCAAAAATCGGTGTCCTAATTAGATTTTAGCTTTAAGAAAAACTATTATATCAATGGCTAGATGTTATATTATAAAGATGATGTAATGAAATCAAATATTATAGATTTTGTGGAGCTTCAAGAATCAAATCATAAAGAAGAAAAGTCAAAAACAGAGAAAAAAAATTTTGTGCGAATATACTTTCAACTTGTCACTCATTCTACATCTTCATAAGACTCGACATAAAAGAAAAAAAAAAAGGGTGAAATTAGTAATTTGAATTATCTTACAAAAAGAGAAGCATAAAAACACTTCGATTAGATATAATCACATAATGTTAGACTTGCTAAGTATGATTTCCTATCGTACAATTAGATTTCCTCACTTCACTCATGTTGACTTTTGATTTTAACGGTTGCCTTGTCAGCTGCCACTAAAGAATAAGGTGGCGGCAGCGAGAGTTGATTTGGGGTGATGAAATGATCTAAGTTTTTAGTGTGGACTCCTGACGTAGCTCTATGTGCGACAGAGGTTATTCATGAGTTATTTTCAGGTTAATCCCGAAATAACCCAGAAATAACCCGCGGTCTCTATTTTTGGGTTATTTCTGGGTTATTTCGGCGTTATTGAAAATAACCCTGAAATAACCTGAAAATAACTCATGAATAATCTCCGCCGCACGTAGAACTACGTCAGAAGTCCAGACAAAAAATGTGCTCGATGGAATGTGCTGTGTGAAGGTCAACGCTCGTCTCCAACAGCGAAATCTGACTCCCAGCAAAGAGGAAAAGCCATTTTGCACTTGAATTCCTTATAAAATTGCTTATTTCTTACAAATCTAAATAACTTCTTAATATTTTTTTAATTTTGTTATTTAAAATAAGCACGAGAATCTAAAAAATAAAATTAAAGGTAAGAATTTTAAATCTGATGTAGGTAAAAAAAAAAATTATATATATATATATATATATGTATATATATATCTAACAAACTAAAAAAATGTTGAACTAAATAAGTAAAATATACTTTTATTTGACTAACCAAAATATGATGCAAAATCTAAAATCACATAAAATTTTAATATGGATAAAAAAATAATAGATTTTGAAGATAAAAATAGTTCTATAAATATAAAAATATATATAACATAAGATCCTACCATAACATGTTGGAGGAAGAACGAGTAGGCGGCATGCCTTAAGATTTAAGAAAAGATTGAGCAGATCGGCTCAACTAATGCTCGATGAACAACTAAATGGTTGATACCAAAAAGTAGTGAAAGGAGTTCAAGTTAGGATGCACTAATGCAAGGAAAAAATTTGCATGCGATAGACGTACCCAGTGCTGTGTACGATAATGGGTTATACCGAGGGTACAAGGGGGTTACATTCTCGGTATAACCCTTTATAACCTCCCTGTAACCTTCTGTAACTTACCTGTAACTTACTGATAAATTCTTAATATACGATAACAAAAGCGCGAAACTTATTTTATGTTACAGGTAGGTTACAAGGGATTATACCACGGATGTAACCCCCTTGTACCCTCGGTATAACCCCAATATCGTACGCAGCGCTGCGTACGTCTATCGCATACAAATTTTTTCCCTGATACAGACATGGGGCATGCCTATATTTAAAAATACTGGGCTTATCCTTAAAAATACAGCACAAATGCGTCTTTGATGGACATTATAAATATATATATATAGTGATCACATAAATTAAATAAACATGAAATGAAAAAAAAGACCCTAAAATTTATTGATAATTAAATTTAAAAAAGAAAAATATATCAAAATGGTAGTCAAAGAATTAGTAAGAAATTATGCACCTATGATCATCAATAATTTTTTAAAATATTGCATACAATTATACATGTTATTTAGTATAAAATAAATCATTGAAAGATATTTAAGTATACATTTTATTACTATTTATAATTTTTTTTTTTTTTTACGGACAATTACACATTTTACTGCTATTTTTTCTAGAAGTGGACATTTGACAAACTTGTCTGACACGTGTTGGAAGTGCATTGCATGTGTGTCAATGTTCGGTAAGTGTCGAATATTGCACGTCTGTTTATAGTGAAGCGTCAGTGCATCATTACGTCTAAGGAAAAATAAAAGAGAAAATGAGCTTGATTTGTGGTAGTTGAATCTTAATTTGTTCTTGAATCATATTTCTAGGGTTAGTGCATAAGAAATGAGAGAGGGAGAGGAAGAGAAGAGGGGGAAGGGTGGGCGGGGTATTAATCAATAGTAAAATATGTATTCATAAAATGATTTTTTTTGTTTATGTAGGAGAGTGTATAATATGAATAGAGGTTTTACATGATATTCTAGGTATATTTTACATGTATGAGTCTATTTCTATGCTTCCTTATGACTCGACTCGCTGGGATACTATGACTTCGGCTTTGTAAAGCCCGTTTGGTCGGGTAGATTGAGTCGGTGCAGTTGGTCAGTTAGACTGGATTAGCTTTGGATCTATAATATTGATTCGGTCGGATAGGGTATGTCGATCAGTCGACCGCTGGATGAGAAGTTTTTGTCGGTAGAACAAGACTAGACTATCAAGTATTGGGAAAATCACTGTAACCTGATGGATAGCTTAATCCTTGATGAAAGGGTCCTTCGGGATAATTGTCAAGCTTTATTGTATTGTCAATTCTTGGTCTCTAATGAGGAATCTCACGAAAATTTGTGGGATGACTACTGATGCAGAAGAACTGGATTCAGCCAGATCTACTGATAGGTTGGTCTATGCCTTTGATCGGCTTTCCAGTGGGGCTTAGCTCGAACGCTTATCTTTCTCCCTCTAGTCTAATAAGTTCATATTCATATCATTCTTTCTTTCCTTCTCCTTGCTCAATTAGAATTCGTCATTGGCTTGGATGGCCACGTCCAATTTGATAAGTGGGATCTTTTGTCTTGTGTTGGCGAGCCTACTTTGTTGTACTTTCTTTCTTCTAAATCATGGGATATCCTCGTGATCCTTGGTGGTACATTCTTGATGTAAAGCGGTAGATATTTTAGGTTCCTAGCACAAATTTTGGCTAGAAATCCTAAAAAAAAATTCTTTCACTTAAAATTAGCAGAATTTTCATAAAAATATTCCTTCAAACCTTTTAATAGAATATGTCAGTTATAAATCCTGGGGGAAATTTGTATTACTTTTTTCGTGTAAAAAACTCCTTGGTGTTATAGTAGTAAATAAAGTACATTAAAGTGCTATGTAATCAAAACTCACAACAATTAGTGCTTTATTTTTATTTAGAAATAATTTATTAAAGCTCTCTTAATTTCAATTGATCGCTTTGTAATCAAATCTCTATAATTAGTGGCGTAATTTTTTAGTTTAAGAGAAATCCATGTAAGCTCTCTACAGGCAATATTCCTGTCATCCGACACCAAATAATCTAAACGTGGCCTAATATTCAGCAACATGAAGGTCCAAATCAACCAAATCCAAATCCCAAACATCTTAAAAACCATATCAAAGAGCAGGGAACACTTTTGGTACCAGTTGCGAGAACTTACTTACACTAGCGCAAGTTAATTTTTATGACAACTTTCAGGAGAAAATCAAAGGGGCCCAACAAACAGAAGATGGAAGGATACAGAAACGTAGATTCAGTTCATACAAATGGTTCAAGCAGAAGTCCTAAACTTCTTTGCAAGGCCGGCAAAATACTGACCCTGATGAAATGCAAGCTTCAGCTCAAGCTCAGAAGGCTGCCTTGATCCATCCCCAGCAAAAGTTCCAGCACCATAAGGAGATCCGCCTCTCACCATCTCCAATTCAGACATCCCAGCTCCACCAGTATAACCAGTTGGCACAAAGATCATTCCATGGTGAACCAGCTGAGTTATAGCAGTCAAGCTGAAGATAGTTAGGAGGGAAGTATCAGTGGATTCTAAACTCATACTTTTCGATCGATAAAGTTGGCCAAAACACTACAGAGAGAACGAAAGTGCTTACGCTGTAGTCTCTTGGCCGCCTCCCTGAGTGCCGGTGCTGAAGAATAAAGCAGCTGGCTTTCCTGCAAGCTGTTGGGTTCTCCAGAGGCCACCAGTTGAATCTAGGAAGGCTTTGAATTGTGCAGGCATCATTCCAAATCTAGTTGGAAAGCCAAAGATAAACCCATCAGCTTCAAGAAGTCCGCTGGCTTTGATGACCGGTGCATCACCTTTAGGAGGTGCACCCATCTTGCCAAGAACTTCTTCTGAGAGTGTCTCAGGAACCTAGCAAACAAGTAATTGTTGAGATTAGAATCAATTTGATCAGTTGCAGAAAAAAATAGTGGTAATACTGAGTAAAGACATTATGGGTGTCTAACTAGTTTTAAGTTGGTAAATAGCTCGCGTTCAACTCGTTAAAAAGCTTTTGTTTAGCTCCTTGTTAACTATGGAGCCATTAATAAACATATTATTATGGCTTAATTACTTACGGGCCGTTCAGAATCAATATTGTTTTTTATTTCTATATTTTTGCTATTATTTTATTTTACTTACATTTTGATTTGAAATAAAATATATTTGATATGTTTGATTAAGATACAATTATTTTTTAAAACACTCAAAACTAGTAAAATGTTATTTTGAGTGTTTTCAAAAACATGTTGATTTATTTTTAGAAACAAAAATAAAAACATGTAAAATATATATTGAACAAATGTATTTTTAAAAACAAAACAAAAAAAATTGATCCCAAACAAGCCCTTAGCAAAGCAACTGCAAAGAAAACTTCATTAGCTCCTGATCGGGTAGTTAAAAGCTTAATAAGGTTAAGCATTGATAAACATTATATATATAGTGGCAATAGTGGTAGAATATGTTATTAAGTTTTTCCCTTGCATGATGAGGTTTTGACTTTGATTCTTTCTCTTCTTCTTTTCTGTTTAAAAAATAATAAAAAATTATCTTTTGATTGATATATTTGTGTTCATTTATGTTAGCAAACAAGTCAAACATTGATGAACAAAACTGGTTAAGAGAAATTTAAAACATCAATAAATGAACCAAATGAGTAGTAAGAAAACTTGATAAATTAAACTCAAACAGAGCTCTCTTAATTTACACATGATTCACTCTCACCCCTAATAGATCTAGAATTTCAAGTACACAAAAATGACTTAAAGTCGGTCCAGAATTAGCCATTTCAAGTGAGTTCAAAGAACCTGATAATTTTGAATTCAAGTCGTAGCAAAACTCACACAAACTCCATTATCCGAATTTGTTGAGTCAGATTTAACTTGAGTAGGTTAGAAGAGCAGTCCTCTCCTTCAATAAATTCATCAAAGGAACACAAACAGAAGTTAAGCGCAAGCTTTACTGCTTCAGTTCTTACCAGCCATGATAGATGATAGATCTCAGCACCAATCCACTCTATGAAAGTTCACCTTTTTAGTTGAAATTTAATAATTATTTTCCGATTGTTAAGCTATGGACCAAGCTTATTCCATTTTTTAGTAAGCTTCGCCAAAGAAGTTAAAATACAATAATTATTTCCATTATTAAAAAAGCCCGATTAATGGGCAGTGGACCAAGCTAACTATCTATTATGTTTCTTTGGTAAACTTCATAAACAGAACCGAAAAGAGACAAATTTGGCATTTGGAATATTTCGATGGAAAAGAGGTAGAAATTTACACCATAAAATTATAAAAGTAAACCAAATCAATATCTAAAAATCAACCAACAACCCACTACCCACAAAAAATAATGAGAAAAAACACAGACGCTCAAAAAAGATTATCAAATGTACATCGAAAATGTGTCAGCGCTAATCCTGAGGAGATTTAATGATCCGGAGGAGGAGAGTACGACAAAAGAAGGCCCACCAAAAAGAAGACCAAGAGACCCATTTATCCGACTGGATGTAGCCATCCGAGTCAAGGCCAAAGCCAAGCAAATGCAGTTGTTCAAGCCGGAGCCAAAACCGACAAAGCCATGAGGAGGAAAAAAAGATGACCAAGTGATTTAAGCCAAATACTGAAATAAGACAAATAGACATCTGAGCCAACCACTACAAAAAAAACTGACCAAATAAAGTAGCCAACCTTCCTGTAGATCCAATTCGAGAAAATATGTAGTCCCATACTATCACCAACCATTCCACGAAGGCTCCCGAGACTCCAAATAAGGGATCAAGAATTAACAACGTAACAAAGAATCTAATAGTCACCCATTGAGAGCAAGCTACTTATAAGGTCATGGAGATTTACCATTTGCTCGATAGTTTTGCATCGCTCTACTAACATGTCTGAAGTCAATTAAGCTCAACCAATCGAGCTAAAGAGCAGCCGAGCGATAAGCTTATACATGTAAAATAGTTAGAATACCTTTAGAACTCCCGTTAAAGCAGGGGTGAAAATACAATATCATCATATTTTACTCTCTCTCTCATAAATATGGAGGACATTTTATGAACAAGGGGTAGTAAAATTAGCCAAAAACAATGGAAAATGTTGTGTGAATCATGGACAAATCATGATTCAACAACAAGAAAGATGAAATAGTAAATCCTACTTTGATGGACCCAAAAATAAAATTTACAAATCTCGCCTTTGTCAGAGTTTTAGTAAAACAAGATTGCTCTTAAGTACTAACCTACCACAGATTAGCCTCCACACCTTCAACTGATGAGGCGCCCTTCAATATCTCATGAGCAAGTTTCTCAACATGTCCATAAGTAGAGTAATACCTAAATAAAACTTGCGACAATTAATTCCAGTGATAAATGTTCCAAAAAAATGTATGGTAGCTCATGATAATATTTTATGGCCTTAAATGGCACTTTGAATGCTAGCACATTATTTTCATAACATCTCTTAAACCGAATTTGCAATGAAAGTACATGTTAAGGTTTATTCTTCGAGAAAAATTGCGAGCAACTAGAAGCAACAATGGGTGCAAAATAATTAAAAGACGGTCCTTTGCAAGGTAGCAAACAGAGCATGAAAAAACCCGTTCAGGCAATTCGCCGAACAGCTGGCATGAAAGAAGAAGTGGTTCGTGTAAATCACAGATTAACTGGATAATGAAACAGAGATCCAAATCAAACGAACAAAAGCACGTTAGAGATGAAACGAAAGAGAATGTTTTGAAGAAAAGAAAGAATAGTCAACGCCTACACAATGTAAACTTTCGTTGCCATTTATGGACGTCAAGGGAGCTCTGCAGCCGCTGTGGGATTTACAGTGAGAAGAAGAAGGAGGTCCCTGTTGCAGCTGAGACCAAGTGGATCGGGAGTTCTGCAATTTATAGAAAAAATATTGAAAGAAAAAGGTCGATATTGCCAGCATTGTTGACATTTTCAATTTGTTGACGTTGAAGCGAGGCCCGATGTTTTAATCTAAAATAATTGAAGGTGGCCGCTAGATTTCTTGCTCCAGCCGGAGTGAAGGTCTCCGCTAGCCCCAGTATAAGCCTGGAAACAAAGCTGAAGGGGAATTGTTCAGTTCATCTAGGCAATGTTTTCATTCAAATTTTAATATGCGGGCGACTTCTGACTTATTCGTTGAGAGTGTAGATCATTTTTTTTAAAATTAATTAATTAATTTAGGGTCTGTTTGGGGCAGCTGCAGCTTAT